CCCGTCCCCCCCTTGCTCCCCACCCCTCCCTCCATCCCGGGGGCAGTGGGAGGACGGTGGGCTCTGCCGTGGGGGTATGGATCAGCACACTCCACCGCTTTTCCATTCTTTTTCTTTATTTTCCACTTTTTTTCCATTTTAATTTTCTTAAAAAAATATGAAGAAGCCCCTGCCCAGAGCCAGGGTGATGGAAGCCCCCAGCAAGGGCCCTGCTGCCTCGGGGACAGGGACCCCCAGGTCCTTGCCCCTGGCGTGGCATTCTTCACGGCATGGTGGTGGGTGGCGGGCAGCAACTGGGGGGCTGCAAATCTGGGTGAGGGATGGCGATTCTGGGCAGGGTCCTCCCCAGCGGGGGGGAGTGGGCTCCATGGGGCACTACGGGCTTGGTTTGGTGCCACAACGCTGCCGCAGCCTGGGACGGGCCAGTGGGGGGGAAAGGCTCCAAAATACCTGGACAGGTGCCCTTGCACACGCAGACTGGTGTGCACACACGTGTCCACACGCACACACATGCACATCTCCCACGGCTGCAGAAAGACAAAAGCCCCTCCCAGTGCACAGGGTGAAGCCTGAGCTCTCCTGAGCACAGTGACCTGCCGGTATGCAGCAAAACACCCCTGCTACAACTGTGCCCGTGCCCGTCCCGGAGGTGGCACATGCCCAGCCAATGCCATTGCATGAGGCTGTACCCCCCCACTCACCCACACACTCCTGGGGACCCCAGCCCAGCCCCTGGCATGGGGTAGGGGGACAGGGTCTGTGCCTGCACCCCCTGCCCAGCCACAAGGATGGGAGTGCAGCTGTGCAGTGGGCAGTGGGGTCGGGACCCCCTGTGCTGGCCGTGCCCTGGGCGGGCTGTCCCTGGCCCCGCTCCTGCACCCCAGGGAGGTGCTGCAGTGATGAAGGAGGGGCTGGTGTGGGGGCGATGGGGGGCACCGTGCTGCCACCACGGGGTGCAGGAGCCCCCAGCCTCCATCTGCCTCCAGCTCCGGCACCCGCCGCCCCTTCCCGACGATGTCAGCCAAAGTATGGGTTGTCGTGCTGGAAGTTGTAGTCGGGGCAGACCTTCTGGACCAGCTTGTAGTCGATGCTGAGGAAGGAGATGAAGATGCAGATGACCTTGAAGGGCTTGGCGCAGAGCCAGGCGGCGTGGCTCTGCGTGTGCTCGGTGAAGCACACCTTGGAAGGGTCGTACAGGCAGGGCTTGTTCTTCCGTGCCCGGTTGGTCTTCTCGTACTCTACGTGGCAGTTGAGGGCCTTGGCCGGGCGCCCCTCAGGCAGGGTGCTCTGCTGGGGGGGCGGGCGGGGGAATGGGGGGGGAGCTGGCACCAGCACCTCGAAGCCCACCGCCTTGGAGGGGGGCACGATGCTGACCGAGACGTTGCCCAGGCTGGAGGAGTTGTGGCGGAAGTAGACACTGAAGGTCCCGTTGATGTGGTCGACAATCTTCCCTGTCACCAGCAGGCTGAACTTCAGCGTCTTGATGTTGAAGTAGAAGTCACCCCAGCCAAAAATCTTCTTGGCACGGCCAGACTTGAGCGAGGGCTTGCGCCGGGCACGGGGGCTCGGCAGCTCCCCAGCCGTCTGGTTCTTCTGCCAGTCCCAGGGGCTCTGTGCAGCGCCTGAGGGTGTCCCCGCACCCCGGGGGGGCTCAGCTGGAATCAGCCGCCTGGGGTCAAGCACCGGGGGCTTCAGGGTGCCGTAGGGGACATCCTTGAGGAGGCCAGAGGTGCCCAGCTCCAGGTACCCCAGGGTCTTCGCAATGTGGCCCCCAGCACACACCGTCTGGGGAAAAGAGGGCAAAGACCGCATGAGCTGTGCCTGTCGCCCCCTTGCTCATCCTCCTGTCTGTCCCCATGCACCCTTCTGTGTCTGTATACCCACCCTGCACCCCTGCATCCCTTCTGTGGCCATGCACCCCTCCAGCACCATGCCCCCCAATCCACCATGCCCCCAGCTGTGCCCAGAGCCAAGTGTGGCTGCACCCTCCCCATGCCACCCCCCAACCCCTGCTCAGCCCCACACGGGCCTGTCCCAGACACACCCCAGGAGCCAGGGCTGCTTTGCCAGCATCACCCATGTCCCTGTGATGGGAAAAAGCATGAGGCTGGACAATTCATGACTGACTGCCCCACCACAGCTGAGGCTTATTAAAATGCAGGGGGGGGTGGGGGGCAGCAGCGTGTACAGAGAAGGGGAGGCATCAGAGCCCTGCGCCGCCTGCCAGGGAAGCCTAATTGCATTACCCAGTGCCTCTGATCTGCAGCAGAAATTACAGAGACCCCCACCAGGCTGCACGGCAGCTGCTCCGCCCTCCAGGATAATTGCACTGGGCAGACATGGCTGAAGAGTGGGGTGCATTGTGTGCAGAGGGGGGGCACACGAGGAATGAACAGGGACCCCTTGCTCTAGCGGGGAGTGGGGGAAGGGCTGGGGTCACTTATTGCATTCTATCAAGGAAGGGAATTTGCAGCAAAAGCAGAAAAGATAGGCAGTGGAGGGGAGGAAAATGCCAGACGGCTGCAAGGTCCCTGCACCAGCACGGGGACGTCCCCTTGGCCAACACAGAGCCATGAGCCCTTGAGAAAGGCTCTCATAGGGTGGGGAAAGGCGGCTCCGCTCCTGGTGGGGTAAATTGAGGCAGGGAGCCACGATGGAGACCAGCTGCCTGGTCTCTCCAACCTGGGCGAGCTGCAAGCCCAGTTAAGGAGGCGCTGATGGGCACTGGCACACCAGGACCCTCTGGAGATGCAGCCATCGCTGGAGTGTCAAGCGGCAGCTCCCAGCCACACCAGTCGAGAAAGGGACTCCGTGCACTGAGGGGGCTGAGACCTGCCTCCTGCCAGGCGCCAGCTGGGACGGGACCACAGCGTCCCCTTCCTGAGGTTCCCCATGGCCATCGCTCTGCCTGTCTGGCTGCCGGGACTGAAATCATGTGCCTCAGCAGCAGCGAGCAGAGCCAGCTGGCACCTCTTCAGCCCTGGGACCCCGTCTCTGACGTATCCCATGTCCCTCCCTTGCCTGAGCCCACCTGCCCCCCCGCTTCCCCATCCCTCAGTCTGGCTGCTCCTGGCTCTGCACCCTGGTGCCCAGAGTGCCCCTGTCTGCCCTGCCAGCTGCTCCCGGCATGCGGGATGCTGCTCCGTCAGCCCCAGCCTCGTCAATCACTGTCGCCCGTGAGCTGGCAGGTGCTCGGGCTGCTCTGGCAGTTTTGCTCTGGACGACCTGTTTCCCGAGGGGGACGCGGGGAGGAGGGGAGCGGGGAAGGAGGGCTGCGAGCAGAGGTGCCAGCTGGAAGGGCCTGGGGGGAGTGGGGGGGGCTATGCCCCCACAGGAAACTGAGGCATGCCTCAGCGCTGAATCCGAGCCAGTGGGGCTGGAGGCAGGGCAGGAGGTGCTGGGGATGGCTCCTGCCTGCCATTGCTGGGGTCTCATCCTGGCACCAGCCACCCTGCACCACTGCCAGAATGCCTCAAGGCTCTTTCCCCCTCGGAACTCAGTGTGCTTTTCCCATGCCCCCCATCAGAGAGGGGTGAGCCCCCTGTGCCCCCTCCTCCGTGGTCAGGCAGGTCTGTGCACTGGGTACCCGGCAGGGATGGAGCAGCATCGGGGGGGCTGCCCCGGCCACGGGCCCCCACGCTTGCCCTGTCCCTCTCCAG